ATCAGTGCTTCAGTTACTCAGATTGCTGGATTCTTGCTGAAGACTAGGAATATTTGAATATAAATGTCATATATTTTGCACAAAAGATAACATATTTACTCAGAAAAATTTTTATCTAAAATTTGTATGTCTAATGCAAAATATATGATGTTTATATTCAAAATGATCATCAAATTATAAGAATTCCAGCAATGTAAATTATATTCTGACCGGGTGATTTGTATGAATTTTATGAGCTAAAACAAATATCTTCAGTTAATAAAAAAAAAAAATATTCTTCACAGGGTAACAGATGGTCGGTCGGTCCCTCCCTACCCCCCACCCCCCACCAACCGTCCCAAGGAGATGTGTGGGAAAACCAGAATACTTAACTTTTTTGTAATAAATAATACCTCAAACTAAAGTTAGGATAATATAATTGACATTGCTGGATTCCTTGTAAGACCAGGAATATTTTGAATATAAATGTCATATATTTTGCACAAAAGATAACATAGTTACTCAGAGAAGAAATTTTATCTAAAATTTGTATGTCTAATGCAAAATATATGATGTTTATATTCAAAATGATCACCAAATTATAAGAATTCCAGCAATGTAAATTATATTCTGGCCGGGTAATTTGTATGAATTTTATGAGCTAAAACAGGCAGTCAGGCAGGGTGGCGGGTGGGGCAAATCTAAAAATAGCGTCTCGAGCCGGACACTCACCGTGTATATGTGGAAAAAATCCGTGTTAAGTGAAAGTTCAGCTCACTGGCGAGGCACGCGTGTTATATGATAAGCAGCGTTAAGTGAAGAGCTACGTTGGCGGGGTAATACTATATATATATATATATATATATATATATATACTATATATATATTATATATATATATATATATATATATATATATATATATATATATATATATATATATATATATATATATAGTATATCTTTTATGCACTCAGACATTATATTATTTATCTTGACATTAAAGTATCCAAATCTTTCCTTATGTATGGCAAAAATTCTCATTATGCATTTAATTTAATAAAAAATCTTACTGACAATTGGACTAGTGTACTGTACTCTAATATGAGGACTTATAAATCTTACCATTGTGACATTCTTGACAGGTATAGACGCTATAAGGTCAAGTCCATCTTTTATCTCCTTCACCAAAGGGGTCAATGGAACAGAAATATCTATGCGTGTAACTAATTCTCCATGATGATGCTGAACCAAACTTGTGTATGCACGCCACACCACTACACAGCAACGAATTTCAGATAACTGGGACAAGGAGGTTGCTGTCACACAAAGCTGCTCACACACTGAAAAATAAAGACATTTATTAGTATAAAAACTGTACAATGTGGAAGTCTTCTTTTGTATATGTGCTTGTGTGGCCGTTCCATACTCCAGTTCAAAACATTTATTCAGAACCAACCACAATGTGACAGTGGTATCTACAAAATAGCAGTTTGCCTTAACAATCCAAACCCATGTCTAAAACTGACTATTGGTAATCACTTTCGGTAGGTACAGGTTTAAACATATGGTATAAGAATGACTTAGTGAGAATTGAATTGTTTTTCTTGGGGGGGACCAAGAGGAGCGAAGGAATAAATATTTGAATGTTTGAGCATAAGGAGATAGTGATATCTGAAGAAGAATTAGTGAGGATCATTATCTTTTTTATACCAAAAAGAACACTGATGCAGATGGGCATAAAAACAGAAATCATTGTTGAAACAAAAAGTCAAACTCTTAAATATGTTTCATATAATCATTACCTTGTAAAAGAACCTCCAAATCATCATCACAGAAGGAGTTGAAGGTAAGTTTTGACAATAAAGTAGTAAACTGTGTAGAGAGGTCAACAGCATGATGAAATAATGCTGATAAGGACTCCTTAACATGTTCTAGATGACTGCCATAAATATCTCCGCTGTGGGCAGAAATCAAAACATGTAATATATCACCACGCACGCGCACACGCGCACACGCGCACGCGCGCACACACACACACACACACACACACACACACACACACATATCTACTTATTAATTGCTAATAAATGAATGAGCTATCTGGTAACAAGTCTCTAAAAAAACTGCACACATTACCTACCTTTATATGCCTAAGAAACCTTCCTATATTCCAGAGATCTGTAGTAGTGTTTTTCACGATGAATATCGTATTCAGTTAAAATTGAAGTTGCACTATACTCAAAAACCCGACAGCTATCATTAATTTGTTACTGCACAGTTCTGTTCAGTATATGTATCATTTAAAATGAGAATTATGAAATAAGTAATAAAACTAATTAGCATTATGAAACATCATCATCTGCTTGATACATAGTCATTACACCACCCAACCAATCGGGAACAGCGTCAGGTGAGGTCTTTCAGAGACGCCACTAACCCGAAGGCAGTCGGTCGATCGGGTTTGGTATTGGAATTGTTGGAATATTCCATTGGTAGGAGGTACCCGCCCGATGGCAGTCCATATGAATATAAAAACCTCTTTCACCCTCCAAATTTTTATACTGTATATTGAGATAGAATATATACCAAACTGATAGAAAATGAATTTATTGGTAGGGTAACAGAAAGTTGTACATTCAAAGATTGTAAGTTACCCCAATATTTACAAGTGTTAAATATCTTCGGCTGATCATGAGCATGCAGCCGCGCGTAACCAACACTGCGTCACGAAATACACAAGGGCTGCAAGCAGTATTTTAGAGAAGAAACAAAAGCATCTACTTGTAGAGATATGTCAACAAACCTGCATGTTTATGTACATGATAATTGATGTTTCTAATATAAGAAATGTAAATTTCATATAGCAAGCAAAAATTACCAACGAAATGATGATGCTTAGATCAGCCTAGTCAGCCTCATCCCAAAGGACTGTGGATCTTTTTAAAACCTTATCAATTCTTTTTAAGTGGCACTGCAGCTGAGAACCAAACTGGGACACAATATACAAGGATGGGTAACAGAAATGAAGTAAAACAGAATGTATTAATATTAACATTCTGAAACATTAAATCAATTACAAAATATAGCAATTCTGTGAAATGCCGACGAGGCTACAGAATAAATGTGATTAAGCAGGTTAGGAATTCTCAGCTAAGTAGCCACATACTAAAAGATAAGGCCATATTTTAGGATGAATGAAGAGGCAAATGTTATTATTGTACAGCATGTGATTCACCTGGCTTTCAGAGGATTTGATTCCATTCAAGTGATATATGTAATGGCACTGAGAGGGTTTTTTTATTATTATTACAAAAAATCAGATGAATTTGATTTAAATTCAATAAAATTTGTAAAAAAAAAAAAATCTCAGATTTGTTTCCCTTGTTGACAGACAACTGTTCCCAGTTTTCTCCTCCAATGTACTTTGTTCATTTGAAACTAAGGAACTGCCTTGGTACAGAAAAAGCAGCAAAACTTGTATTTTCTTTTTAAGTCTTTGAATGCAGGCACTGGTCATGGTTACAAAGGTGCTTAATTAAATTAGAAATTGTTGTTTGCAATGTGTTTTTATAAATTCTAAATGCCATATTGTATCGAAAATTGTTGTGACTCAGTTGGTTTTGCTTTGCTTTGCTATTTGCAACTCTGAAGTAATCCTAAAACAAGAATAAGTTAAAAAACAAAAACAGTACAGTACAGTAGTAATGCAAATTCTGTGGTGAGAACACTGAATAGTGAGCATTATTAAAGTGAAAGTTTCTTCGTGATTATGTAGGCTACTGTGATAAATGCATAACATACTTTGTTGCTATGGCTGATTAGTTTATAACACTATAATATACAGTATAAGCAACTGTTTAATTTTTACTTCCTTCCTTTTACATTTAGCATATAAAACCAAACTATGATTTAAATCAATGATTTAAAAAATCTTTTGATATAAGTCATCATTTAAATCAACTTGATTTAAATCAAACAACCTTGGACAGTAATGTATTTGTTTTGTTGGTTTACCAGGTACAGTACTATTATTCTTCAAAAGATCTCATATGTGAACTGTTGATGGTTGGAACCAGCTCAAGTAGGTCCACTGTTGATATCAAGGCAACCACAGTACTGCGAAACACTGGGAATTGGTTTATGGATTACCAACAACACATGTATTGTCTGGATGCCACACTGTTGTCTACTTGTGGGATATTGGAAAAATGACAGTACTCAAAAAGATGAAAGCTATTTATCAGTTCATAAACCTTAACAAGCCTGAATCTAGCATGAAAGATGTTCTTGCTGAGGCTACATCATTTTGTTGCCAAAGTTTTGGTCCCATATCACAATATATAATTATGTCATCTGTCAGGTTAAGTTGGATTAGGTTATGTTAGTGTTAGGGTGCTTCATCATTAGGTGAAATAAGATGGAGTCCTAATTTTCAGGTGATCCTTTCAAAACTAGAAAGTTGCTAACCTGTCTTTGCAGTGGTCAAAAGTGTGGTTGATGATATGTAATAGGACTACAGGTAGGCTGCTAACATTTTCCACAGCAACTCCCTCTGCTTGTAACAAAAACTGCACTGCCAGTTCACAACATTCTGTCACCAAACTGCATTTCTATAAAAACAAAAATAAAAAGACTTGAAAAATAGCTGAACATAAACAAAAATACAAAGATTTGAAAAATAGCTGGAACATATGGAAGTCTTTCTTCCTTACATTAAGTGATGTTGTCATAACCAAAGCCAGATACAGGCTGGACCTCGCTAATCTGGGAAGCTTGGGACCAGACCAGTTCCGGATTAGCAAAAATTCCAAACCATCGAAGCTGAGGTTAAAAAAAGCAAAATAATGCATAAAATATACTATTATTGGTACCAATACAACTTACATCAGCATAAATCTAGCCCAAACTTACTGGACCTCTTTATGACAAAGTGTTAGTGCTATGGCACATGTTTACTGTACACTGGACCCTCACTTTATGCCATTCACTATATGGGAATTTTCATGTATGTACAGAACTAAACAAAATATTTATTTGAAATATTCTTTAACACTCAATGCCATAATATCTTGACCACTGGGGTTAGTTATACTGACATTCCCTGTGAAAGAGCCACAATTTTGAGCAACATATTACTGTATTCAAATGTACCAAGTTAATTTTTATGTCTAGTGCAAAATATGAGATGTTTATACTCAAATTAAATGCAATCTTGCAAGGATTCCAGTAATGCAAGTATTATTCTGCTAAGTCAAGTCAGTGACATTTTATAAGTGAAGAATTTTAAGCCTAAAATCACCTTCATCCCATTAATTATTATCACCCGCCATCACCTGCCTCCACTGCTGGCTGGGAGTAGGGGGGAAAGGGAGGTAGGGTGCTGACAGCCGGGATAGGTGCATAGTTATCAGTTGAGGGGTTAGAAGGGACATGGGATAAAAGATGGAGTTTAAGTTTTTTGCTTATAAAATGTCACTGATTTGACTTAGCAGAATAATACTTGCATTGCTGGAATTCTTGCAAGATAGCAATTAATTTGAGTATAAACATCCCATAGTTTGCACTAGACATAATAATTTAAACAATTAACTTAGTACTGTGCAGGTGAGTACAGGTTGTGATAATTTGTGTTTTTCGCTTGTAAAATGTTGTCGACTTGACTTAGCAGAATATAACTTGCATTGCTGGAATTCTTTCAAGATGACAATTAATTTGAGTATAAACATCCTATAGTTTGCACTAAACATAAAATTTTTAGTAATTAACTTAGTACCTGTACTATGCATTTGAATACAGGTTGTGATAATTGTAATGACTTTTCCACAACTTTTATAGCATTACTGTTGACTTTTAGCAGTTGTGGAAAATATCCAATTTTCCCCATAAGATTAAGTATTCACTACATGTGTCCTGAACCATCGAAGCTGCTGGACTATGGGGTCTCGGATTAGTGGGAACCAACCTGTACTGGTCTCTGCATCTAAGGGTGATGTTAATCTCAAAGAAATACAGTAAATGAGAAATCAGACAAGCTTTGCAAGCAGTGCAGTCCAAACTGGGTAATGTTCTTAAGATAAATATACCTGTATTCAAAACAAAATCAGATCCATGATACATAATGTACCATTAAATAGATCATATGTAGTGTATCTTACTTGGAGTAGCTCAATGGTTCTGTCCATATTCTTTTCTGCTTCTCCTCCACAAACTTGCAGGAAGTCATCAAATGCTGACTTCAGGCATGGTAGAGCAACATTAAAAAGGCAAAATGCAGTCTTATCAACTGGAAGATGTGGCAGGAAGGAACCAAACACAAATCTAGTGACTTGCACTCTCTTTTTAGCAGGCGGAGTCATTTCTAAAAAGTTGTGTGTCTTGTTAAGGCTAATACAGTAGCTATATAAAAAAAAAAAACACAATGAATAAAAAAAATAATAATGTTCAACAAGCTACAATAATCAATTTTACTAATACAGTTGTACCCCACTTAACGCGGTCAATAGAACCCAGAGGGTCCCGTGTTAAGTGAAATCCGCGTTAAGTGAACAACAGAACATATGGGATTAATTCCAATAGAAACCGGCCCGACCCCCAAACTCCACTTTTTGAAGACACATAACTATGTTGTAGTAAAAATAACATCTTAATTTTATGATGGTACATGCACACAATTAATACTTAAGAGAAATAGAGAAATACAGTCGCCAAGTTAATGTCCATTCAAATAATGGACTCAAGTCCCTCCCCCTCTCACACTACACTGCCGGCTCTTCCCTCTCTGAGAAATTTTTGGGGGAAAACCACTAAATTGTAATAAATAATACCTCAAACTAAAGTTAGGATAATACAATTGACATTGCTGGATTCCTTGTAAGACCAGGAATATTTTGAATATAAATGTCATATATTGTGCACAAAAGATAACATAGTTACTCAGAAAATTTTTTTATCTAAAATTTGTATGTCTAATGCAAAATATATGATGTTTATATTCAAAATGATCACCAAATTATAAGAATTCCAGCAATGTAAATTATATTCTGGCCGGGTAATTTGTATGAATTTTATGAGCTAAAACAAATATCTTCAGTTAATAAAAAAAAAAAATAATCTTCAGGACACTATCTGTCAATCAAAGTACCCCACCTTGCCTTCCCCCTCTTCCAACCGCGCGGTCAGTCCCAACCCTCCCCCCCACCCCCCACCAATCATCCCTTCAAGAGAAGAGTGGGTGAAAAATTTAGATTTTAACATTTTGTATTAAATAATACCTCAGATTAAAGTTAGGATAATATAATTGACATTGCTGGATTCCTTGTAAGACCAGGAATATTTTGAATATAAACGTCATATATTTTGCACAAAAGATAACATTCTTACTCAGATTAAACATTTTATCTAAAAATTTTATGTCTAATGCAAAATATATGATGTTTATATTCAAAATGATCATCAAATTATAAGAATTCCAGCAATGTAAATTATATTCTGACCGGGTAATTTGTATGAATTTTATGAGCTAAAACAAATATCTTCAGTTAATAAAAAAAAAAAATATTCTTCACGGGGTAACAGATGGTCGGTCGGTCCCTCCCTCCCCCCCACCCCCCACCAACCGTCCCAAGGAGATGCGTGGGAAAACCAGAATACTTAACTTTTTTGAAATAAATAATACCTCAAACTAAAGTTAGGATAATATAATTGACATTGCTGGATTCCTTGTAAGACCAGGAATATTTTGAATATAAATGTCATATATTTTGCACAAAAGATAACATAGTTACCCAGAAAAAAAATGTTATCTAAAATTTGTATGTCTAATGCAAAATATATGATGTTTATATTCAAAATGATCACCAAATTATAAGAATTCCAGCAATGTAAATTATATTCTGGCCGGGTAATTTGTATGAATTTTATGAGCTAAAACAGGCAGTCAGGCAGGGTGGTGGGTGGCGGGTGGGGCAAATCTAAAAATAGCGTCTCGAGCCGGACACTCACCGCGTATATGATGAAAAAATCTGTGTTAAGTGAAAGTTCAGCTCTGGCGAGGCACCGCGTATATGATAAAACGCGTTAAGTGAAACCGCGTTAGGCGGGGTAATACTGTATACTTTATTTTTTTTTACAACAACTCTTACGGTTTGAACAATGAACAATGTACAGCAGTTGGAAGCAAAAGTATATGGTTCACATGATCACAATTTTATTATAATCTGTATATAGCAGTCCTTAAAAGTGTTCTTTCACCAACATTTTCAAATATCTACTACACCCTTCCTCACTTCACAACAGGAAGTCCAAAACAAAACTGTGTAATTTTTCTAGTGAGATATTTTCTCAGATTTACCATATCTGTACTCCCATCGCACCTTTTTCCTAATACTACATCAGCAGGTGTCATCACCCTCAAGATTAAACACAATGTAAATTTTGCATCAAATTACATAATTACTGTACATGTACTTGCAAAATTGCCGGGCTCTGCTCAGGTACATTGGTATACTGCATAACCTTGGCTGTCATAATTTGCTCTTCCTGAAATGAGTACCGGTAACCTTCTGAACCTATTCTAACTTAACCCAATACATAACTTAACCTAACCCAACCGACTAACCTATCCTTGACTGTCACAGTTTGCCCTCCCTGACACAGGTAACCACCTCTCACATTGTCAACAGTAATACCAAGGTGCACAACCTTAGGATCAATGTAAAGTTTCAGGTTTCTAACTAACTTCTATTTTGGAGCTATGGCTGGAGCACACATCCTTGACCACTGGAGGGTCAAGACCTATCAGGCACTGATCCTGCTGAACAGCGGCCCCCCTTGGCGATGTTTGGGCATTCCTCAAGTCCCTCTCCCCAACCCATCCTCACCCCCGGGATATCAACATAATCAAAAGTGACAATTTCATTTTGGAAAGAAGTGGGATAAGTGTTGAACAGTGATGAACATTGTTTAAGCCAGTGAATTCAGCACTAGACAGTAACAGCGAGAGCTGCGACCCAACACTGAGATATGCACCCCTGTGTAACAACCACTATCTTCTGACCAGGCGGTGATAATCACTCCACCCTGGGCACAACAGTGGACCGACTTTACACCTGACTACGAAATAACACACCACCACCTAGCAGAGAGTAGGGTACTGTGACACCTCCCCACACCACCCGGTGTCTCCATAACCACGTGAGGTCCTTCATATTAACACCCGAGGGCAAGTTACTGCACCACGTAACACCACACCACCCGATGTCTCCGTGACCACGTGAAGTCCTTTATGTCAACACCTACGGACGAGTTACTGCACCACGTGAACACCACACCACCCGGTGTCCCCATGACCATGGAGGTCTTTCATATGAACACCTACAGACGAGTCACTACACCACATGGCCTACGTGACCTCACATAGTATGGCAAGACACCAGCCCAGCCATCAACTGCAAACTATAATAATTTGCATGTTCAATTCATGTTCCTTCTCCTTTTAGTAATGAAAGATTTTGTTAAACGACCCACCTACCCCATGTCTTTGTATGTAATAATTAATTTTTGCCTAATGTATATTTTTAGCCTTCGGGCTGCAGAGCTTTCTCAATAAACCGCTGCTTATTATTATTATTATTATTACACACACACACACATCTGGGGGTCAATGGTCAATAATAATACTGTACCAAGGTGCACAACCTTGGGACTTGTGTAATATGTGTGTAAAATTTTAGGTCTCTTACTGCTTGTTTTGGAATTATGGCTGAAACAGACAGACACGTCCTTTTATTATATGTAGAGATGGGAGAAGTCTATAAGAAGCCATAAGTCCAATCAAAGGGAGCATCTACAGGGAGCAGCACCAAAAACATCATCTGAGCAGCTGCAAACCCTGCCCATGAACCACTACCATGGCAGGATATATATCAAACTAGCACTGTATATTAATGTGGTCACTACTGGAGATATCACGTAATAGGAGCGACTCAACTTACTTGTAGATCATGACTAATTGCATGGAAAGAAATAACTTTTGATGAGATGGGAACTTTTTTGGAATGTTTATGCACATCTACAAGAAATTAGTACTTAAATCATTAGTTGCTCTCTGCTGGTCTAAAAGTAAACTCTATATTGATCCCTTGTTCCCAAAATAATGAAGAGGAAAGATTTCACTACATCATCACTACATATAACACCATCCATCATCACTACATATAACACCATCCATCATCACTACATATAACACCATCCTTCATCACTACATATAACACCATCCATCATCACTACATATAACACCATCCATCATCACTACATATAACACCATCCATCATCACTACAGATTGGTAAAGTAATTTCCGAGATTCTCGTGCGGACACACAAACAGACAGACTTCTTTGTTTTATATATTAGTAATGTGCAAAACTGCCCTCCAAGATTATGTTTATTGACATGCACTGCAGTCTAGTGGTTAAAACAATAAAACTAAGGTTCACAGCAATTTTCTTTTCAAAGGTGTCTAGCATGACTAAATTTAGAAACATTATGAAAATATTTATTCTTTTATTTTCCCCCAACATAAAATATCTACAGGATATATAACAAATAATCTTGAAGCAATCAAAAGGATATATTGACAATCTGTAATGTTTCAGGAAGTTTTTGCAGTCTTTCCTGATCTGTCCAATTAGCTGCTTCTGACAGCAAACTTAAAACATTGACCTCTCCCTGAGATTCTTCAGACTCCATCGCTCTCTTCTGAAATGAAAAAGAAAAAAAAATCTATCTGGTTTAATAGTCAAGGGTACCATAAAGCTAAAGAAAATTTGGAAGGAATGCAGATCAGTGATCACCAATATTGTTTTGAAAAGTAAGTCTGCTGTTGCCAAGCTTTTAGCATGTTTATTTTCACTCTCAATTATTTGTTATTTTTTGAATTGGCAGACTATTTTCTTTGGAGCCATTATGCCAAGCGGGATTCAGTTAGTGAATTTCTAAACTTCATATACAATACAGTAGCTACTTCCAGTGCAGGTATCAGACAAAAATGAGATTGATCCTGCAATCCTATTGCACTGTACTGTACCCGCACCTGATGAGAACAACCTGTTGATGTGCTCACAGATGATTGGGGGCTCAGGAACCCAAGGAAGTTTTAATTTACAATGGCTGGAGTTGATTTTATGATTATCCCTCAAGAAACTTACTGGAATTAAGATTTTTTTTTTTTAACTCTTTGCCATTGTTTACATACTCCCACTGTCTACCTTCATTTTTGTATACAGTACCTGCACTGTGTAGGCATATTGCATGCCTGCATTGTATATACTGTGTAGTATATACAGTACTGTATAGCAACCCTAGCTCATTAAAATGAGAAATGCTGTACTGTAATTGACTTATGGCTGAGATTGTATGGAATAAAAATAATAATAATTGATACTCAGTCAATTTGACCAAGAACAGCTGACAAAGCTGTGAGATGATTGTTTTCAGTAGAGTCCTTATGCCAGCAGCATCTGGTGTTCTTAGGGCCAGACTGTCACCTATCCAAGTACTAACCAGTCCCAACATTGTTTAACTTCGCTGATCAGACAAAAAGCGTTGTTTCTTATGTGTACCTATAAGCTCTTCAATTGTTGAGGCTCACTTACAAAGACTTCGAGTAATTAAAATTTAGATGTGTACAATGGCCAATCCCACTATGTCAGTTTTGTAGAAATCAGGGTCACTAGTCTTTGCCATAGGTGGCACTGAGCACGAGGTCCCCATGGGGATTTACCATGAGAATCTTGCAAGTTCAAATCAATCTTTTCCTGTGGTGCAGTTGTAGGTGCTATCTGTTATGTAATTACAGTACACTACACATGTGCTTCCCTTGATATGAAGTCCAAAGTGTCAGCTTCAAAATCTAAATTTACAGTCCTTAACAGACTTTTATGAATATGATAATCTCTTTAACTTTAGCTGGTGGTGTAGCATAAACTGAGCTACTCAAATGTAATCAAACTTGACTGTTAAATTAGGTTTGTTTTGTTAATACTATACAGTATTGTGTTACCTGCAATTAAAATAGTTTACAGCTGTAATGTCAGTATTAAAAGAAAATTGGACCATTGTTATCATGAGCATCTTCTCTCTAAAGGGATTTAGCAAATGAATCTCACAAATTAAAATTGACAGCTACCCTGAGAGATTGGAGCGCCTGAACTTGCCTAGCTTATACTACAGACAGGAAAGGGGTGACCTAATTGAGGTGTATAACCATCTCAAGGGACACTACTCAGTCGAGTGTCTTTACTTGGAACTGGAAGACGTTCGCCCGACAAGGGGTCACAGCTCAAAATTGAAGAAGCCTCAAGTCCAGAAAACTGTGAGGGCAAACTTTTTCGTAGTGAGAGTTGTGAACTCTTGGAACAATATACCAGAAAGTGTTGTAACGGCACCGAGTGTGAGCTCTTTCAAGACAAGACTTGACCAACACTGGAGCAGGTTCATGTACATTCAGGAGCCGGTTTATGCCCAGTACTTGCCAACAGTGCATAACAGAGACATGACCGATCGCCCAAGCGGCTAACGAGCCGATCAGTGGTGAAGGGGATAAAAGTAAAAGTAAAAGACAGCATGCATTTCTGTGTTGCAGTTACCATCATATATTCTTCTTATATGAACTGCTTGTATTTTAGCCTACATCATTAACAAACCTTTACCTCCATTCTAAATTAAAATTTAACCAGAACAGGTGGCCCAACTCGGTGATAAAATTACCCAAATAAAAGGCAAAATGTTTTCCTATAGTTTCTATTCAATACAGTATTATTTTTTCACAATAACAGAAATTACATTTTATGGAATACAGTATAGTAGCCATTTTCATGGGATCTGTGACCATTATGTTCCTACCTTTGTTTTATTGTTGATCTACATACTGTACCTTGGACTATTTAGAAAAGATTTTGCTCTTATGTACCTCTGAAAATAGGGGGCTAACCCCGCTAGAACGTTAATTCCAGAAGGGTCACCGGTGGTCATTAATTTTTAATTAAATACACTAGAATCATGAATGAAGGGTCATTTTACACTAATTTTGAGGTGTGAAATCTGATGGCATGGCCAATTTTTGGTTTGGGGTCAACTTGACTTCCAAATCCAAGATGGCCTCTTTCGGTATTGAAAATAAAAAAGGTGAATTTTCGATCTTGCACCGGTATTTCTCTCGCTGTTATTAATATGTTTTTCATAATGTTTAGACAATTCTAAGACCTGATTTCTTCTGTGATATTTACGACGGAAATTAAGGATAACCGAAATATTACTTTTTCCATATTATTAGATTTGGTCAGTCACAAGTTGTTTACGTCTCACAGAGAAGGTCTGACCACCCATCACGCAGTGCTCCTTACCTCCGTGTTGGCTTCCTACGCGTCTACAGTGCATGTGCAGGGGGTGGTGAGGGAGTTTCTTATTGGCTATAGCAATATTAGACTTATAATTGGGCAAGAGTTTTTTGTCTTAGCCAATGAACAATGCGTGGGAGATTTGATTTTTCAGTACTGTACCAGAATAACCACATTAACCAGATAAGGCTGAACAGGTGGAAAGAGCTGTGCTGACATTGTGATAGAGGTTATTTTACGTCAATTGCAGAGTTTCATCAGAAAAATAGTGGTAAATTTGCATAAGTGCACCCAATCTCTGTTAGAAAGTCAAAAATATATTTTTCTGGTGTATTTATGTGTGTTTAGACCGATTATGACCTACATTTCCGTCGGAAACTGTCTTTTTTTTCTGATTTTTTTTCTGTGGGGCGTATTCCGAAAAAAATAATAATGGCTAAGCAAATACAAAACACACAAAAAAACACGAGAAAAAATAAACCAAGCCTAACCTAACCTAACTGACTCTCACCATATGATGGAATCACTTACTTCTTACCTTATTGGCCGTCTCTTCTTTGTCTTTGGGATAAGGGACGAGTTACCACAATGCCACATATGTTGGTCTTGACGATATTTACATTCGTTCTTGCACTTAGGACACTTTACTGAGGTCGGGAGAACACCATGAGCTCGAAAAAATGCTATAGTTTCTTCGTTTTTTTCCCCAAAACTCGCAATCAGCTCCATATACAGTACTTGTAATTGAAGTGACACCCATCACAGACTTCCATGGTCGGAAATGAATTTGGAAATATGAGACCCAAAATAAAAATTTAATTTGATTGGGCCAAAAATACCGCGAATTAAACCACAAATCATTTTAATTGGTTGCCCCCCAAAAACGCTTTTGATTGGCCGCGCGACGTGTACGGGAATGCATGCGCATGATGATTTATAAAGGAGACACGGAGTGTAGGAGGTGAGGTAGGCGATAATGGCAGAAGATTAATGGAAGAAATAGAGAAAATTTAGGATACGCTATCTCCGTTATTATACATTTGCGACAGTAATGTAATAGAAGAAAATTATCTTATAATTAGACGTCTTATTCGAATATGATAATAGATTAGGGGTAGGAATGTGGGATGCAAAAATGCAACAATACCAAAAATTATTGAGTGTATTTTGTGTTTTTAGCAAATCTGGCCACCATTTCAGTCGCAAATGAGCCGTTATGGAGATATGAAACACCCGCCCAAAAAAAAAATAATAAATTTAAATAAATAAATACCGTAAATAAAATAAAATAAATTACCAACAATAATGGTTGCTCTAAGTGGGCAGGCTTTGAAGTAGAGGGAAAATGTGAGGTAAAAATACAAGACCACCAAACAAACATTTGAAGACCTGACCTAACCTGTAAAAATCCTAAAGCTATAAAAAGCTTATATACCTTATTGATGTTTTCAGTGTTTAGTACATGATGATGGTGTTCAGATTACGAGGGACCCATAAACTCGACAACGATTCTTAACATTTTTACAGGTTGTGTGAGGTTTTCAAATGTTTGTTTGGTTTTGAGATTGGGTAGGGAATAAGTTTAGTTAAGTTAAGAGTGTGGAGAAGATGGTCAACGTTATGGTAAAAGGGTTATAGAGTAAAAGCACTAATACACTATACATAATCCTTGTCAAATTAAATAAGGAAAAAATGTTTTGATAGCATCCCTTTTATTACTCATAAAAACAGTTCATTGACTATATTAACAAAACCTGACCTTCTACCCCAACAACACAGTCACGTACCAGCAGCAGCAACACTCAAGGTGGTGTTATGGTCAGCGTCAACACTATTCCTGTAGTGAGCTGGGGGAGGGGAAATAGGACTCTATGCTTTTTAATATGATTATGTTCACTCTGGACAAATAGGTCTGCCCTGTAAAGTGTATCCATTTTTTTTATATGATTTGTGCTGCTCCCTGTGACAACCCTCCTGCAATGAAACTGGGAAAACTGGTTACTCTTAAAAAAAATGTAATAGTTTTGCAATATTTTGTAGTAAAGCACCTGTACAGTAGTTCTACAATTAATAAAACAAAAAATATTTAGATTGCTTACATTACTTTTTCTCTACTGTTACACTTTACTTCTTACCCTCTTTAAACACTCAGCAGCGTGGATATTGCGGAACTCAGACGTCGCCCGGATATTTTTAAACGTAATGTTTAACAACGTTGGGGAGAAGCTCTTTGTCACCTCCACTGTCAGTGAAATTATGTTCACCGGAGTCAAAGTGAGTTAACTGAAGCAGCATGGCCAGCTGAGAAGGGTGGGGTAAGTAATAGTGTAGGCAGGATGATCATCTGTGAAATAGGTAGATCGGGGTAAGTGAGCTCGAGGCTGGTAAGAGGGTTGGGAAGGAGGTTTCGAATAGCATGGAAAAGAAGCCAGTGAGTGAGATGGAAAAACACTGAAGAGAGGGGTGGGAAAGATGTTACAGTTGTGAGAGGGATGTATAGAAGGATAGTAAGGACAGAAAAGATTCCTGTGAGAAGGAATTGGCAGTTTGCTAATGAGTGGGCTATTAGAGATTGGCAGCTTACTGTTGAGGGATACAAGAGAAACTTGTGGGAGAAGTAGGAGGAGGCTGATGCAGGGGAAACGTCCTAGCGTGGATAGAAGACTTTCTACATGACCGCAAGCAGTGTGTGTGGTGATTAATGGCACGAAATCATCATCCGTACCTGTCACAAGTGGGGTACCACAGGACAGTGTATTAGTTTAGTTTTTAGTTTTAGTTTTATCCTCTTCGCCACTGATCGGCTTGTTAGCCGCTTGGGCGATCGGTCACGTCTCTTTTCCTTTATATTCTTCACCAAAAGGTCGGCTCGCTAGCCGCCCGGGCGATCGGTCACGTCTCTGTCACGCACTGTTGGCAAATACTGGGCATGCACCGGCTCCTGAATGTACCTGAACCCGCTCCAGTGTTGGTCAAGTCTTTTCTTGAAAGAGCTCACACTCGGTGCCGTCACAACACTCTCTGGTAGATTGTTCCAAGAGTTTACAATCCTCACTCCGAAAAAGTTTGCCCTCACGGTTTTCTGGACTTGCGGCTTCTTCAATCTTGAGCTGTGACCCCTTGTGGGGCGAGCGTCCGCCAGCTCCAAGTAAGGACACTCAACTGAGTAGTGCCCCCTGAGATGCTTATAAACCTCAACTAGGTCCCCCCTTGCCCGTCTGTAGTATACGCTAGGCAAGTTCAGGCGCTCCAATCTCTCAGGGTAGCTGAGGTGCCGAAGTGCAGGCACCAGTTTGGTGGCCCTCCTTTGAACATTTTCAACCAACTGACAGTCCCTAGCATATCTCGGGGACCAGATGGGGTGACAGTACTCCAGATGGGGAAGCACTTCACTCCTGAAGATCGTCACGAGGGACGGACCGTCTAGATATCTGAACGACCTTCTTATAAGACCCAATAATTTATTTGCCTGATTTACCTTCTTCTCACAATGGCCCGAGAACTTCAGCTCATTGTCAACATACACACCTAGGTCCTTCTCACACACAGTCTCAACTAGTACATTTTCTTCATCCCGTTGGGACATATGGTACGCCTCCTTACCGTTGGTACGCCCCAGGTGCATCCTCTTACACTTCGTGACATTGAATCTCAGCAGCCATTCCTTCGACCATTCCTGGAGCCCACAGAGGTCCTTCTGCAGCTCTTCACAGTCCGCTTGGTTCTTAATTTCCCGAAATAACTTGGCGTCATCGGCAAACATTTGTATGGAGGAGTGTACAACGTCAGGCATATCATTTATGAAACAAACAAACAACAGCGGGCCCAATACACTACCCTGCGGTACCCCACTTGTTACAGGTACAGATGACGATTTCGTGCCATTAATCACCACACATTGCTTGCGGTCATGTAGAAAATCTTCTATCCACGCTAGGACATTTCCCCGAATTCCGTACCCTTCCAGTTTGATTTTCAGCCTTTCGTGGGGTACACTGTCGAAAGCCTTGGCAAAATCTAGGTAAATATTGTCGATATTACCACCCCGTTCTAGAATATGGGTCCAAATATCCAATACCTTGAGCAATTGTGTCAAGCAAGAGTGCCTGACATTGTACTCTCCTTCATACAAATGTTTGCCGATGACGCCAAGTTATTTCGGGAAATCAAGAACCAAGCGGACTGTGAAGAGCTGCAGAAGGACCTCTGTGGGCTCCAGGAATGGTCGAAGAAATGGCTGCTGAGATTCAGTGTCACGAAGTGTAAGAGGATGCACCTGGGGCCAACGGTAAGGAGGCGTATCATATGTCCCAACGGGATGAGGAAACTGCACTATTTGAGACTAAATGTGAGAAGGACCTAGGTGTGTATGTTGACAATGAGCTGAAGTTCTCGGGTCATTGCGAGAAGAAGGTAAATTAGGCAAATAAATTATTGAGTCTTATAAGAAGGTCGTTCAGATATTAGACGGCCCGTCCCTCGTAACGATCTTCAGGAGTAAAGTGCTTCCCCATCTGGAATACTGTCACCCGGTCTGGTCCCCGAGATATGCTAGGGACTGTCAGTTGGTTGAAAATGTTCAAAGGAGGGCCACCAGACTGGTGCCTGCCCTTCGGCACCTCAGCTACCCTGAGAGATTGGAGCGCCTGAACTTGCCTAGCTTATACTACAGACGGGCAAGGGGGGACCTAGTTGAGGTGTATAAGCATCTCAAGGGGCACTACTCAGTCGGGTGTCTTTACTTGGAGCTGGCGGACGCTCGCTGCACAAGGGGTTGTAGTGGATATTTCCCCTACAACTACAACTGCCATTTGTCGCTGACTAGCCGACCCCTTTTCGAATTCCCCAGCCAACGCCTCGTGGTCTAAGGTCGGGTACTAGCGCCGCCTAACAAAGCGGAGGTCAACTATCAAGCCACGCCTACCTCCGCTATATAAGACCTCACCTCGCCGTGACCTGCCTCTTCTACCTACAGCCACGCTGCACGCAACACCTCTGAGCACGCGCCTCACCAACCAGCTCTCTACTCCACGCTTGTAACCACGCTGCCACTTCCCAGCACCAAGCTGCGCTGTACATCCAATACAACATGTATACAGAGAGCACATTGTGAGTTTCCTTTCTCCACCCATCCTGAGTGTGAACCAACATCACGAAACCCCACAGGGTCACAGCTCAAGATTGAAGAAGCCGCAAGTCCAGAAAACTGTGAGGGCAAACTTTTTCGGAGAAGAGTTGTGAACTTTTGGAACAATCTACCAGAAAGTGTTGTGACGGCACCGAGTGTGAGCTCTTTCAAGATAAGACTTGACCAACACTGGAGCGGGTTCAGGTACATTCAGGAGCCGGTGCATGCCCAGTACTTGCCAACAGTGCGTAACAGCTAACGAGCCGATCAGTGGTGAAGAGGATAAAACAACAGGCCAAAGGAGCAGAAAGACAATTACCCATGCTCATGCCAAATATTTGCTTGTAAAACTTCCTATTTGCTCTAAACACATTGTCAGTAACGCATAACTCTATCAATTTGAGAAAAGTATCATGTTCAATAGTCAAATCTAACAGTTGTAATTTATTTTTAAGAAATGAAAGTAGGTCTTTCACTGGTACTCTAGTGAAAAGTGAATTTACATCAAAACTTAATAATTCACATGGATCATTGTGTTTCTTGAGTTTATCAATTAAATCACTGCTGTTGTGTACACGTGTAGTGGATTATTCCCCTACAAACGCTTGTCGCTGAGTAGCCGACCCCGCGAATTCCCCAGTGTATGCCTCGTGGTCTAGGTCAACCAGCGCCGCCTTACATGACAGAGGTCAACTATTAAGCCACGCCTACCTCCGCCATATAAGACCTGACCTCGTGGTGATCTACCTCTCTTCTTCTAGCTACAGCCGCAGCAAGCAACACCACCTCCTCCGCCGCTGCCTGGCGGCCCTCGCTCCCGCCGGCGAGCATGGCGACCCACAAGCTGTCCTCCTCTGAGCATCCTCACCAACCAGCTCTCTCTACATCACGCTTGTAACCATGCTGCCTTCCCAGCATCAAGCTGCACTGTACATCCAATACAGTATGTATACAGAGAGCACATTGTGAGTTTCCTTTCTCCATCCCATCCTGAGTGTGAACCAAACATAACGTACCCCACACACGTATATGTGAATTAGATATTTGGCCTGTAAGAGGGGATAGCATCCTAACCAACCACTTAAGCCTCTCTCTGTCCATGTAATTCAGTTGCCTCTGAAGATGTCTTACTTTTACTTTACTTATATCCTCTTCACCACTGATCGGCTCGTTAGCCGCTTGGGCGATCGGTCACGTCTCTGAGCAGCTTTCCTTTTCATTTATCCTCTTCCCCAAAAGATCCGCTCGCTAGCTGCCCGAGTAAAGACGAAAGCTAAAGTGCTTCATTGTTTCCCCTTTCCCTGTACCTGTATATCAACTTTCGGTACGGGGAACTTCTGGTCCGCCTAAGTTTTTTCCTGTGCTAACATTGGATAGACCAACCAATCGAGTGGCTGATAAGTGGCGGAACGATAAATAAATAACCACAGTAATAGAGTTATGAAATCTTTATTGAGAGTCTGAATATAGACTAATGCGTTGAACCAAAGATTCTAATATTAGAGTTAAACACACCATATGTTTGTTTACTAACTTAATTTAGCAGTGAATACCGCAACAGTTTAACACAACCTTTTGAAGAACATTCGGTGAGGAATATCGTGTTGATTTATCACAGTAATTATTGCTGTAGTATCATTAACTATTGTAGAAATAGAGAATGGTAATTGATGGAGTAACTGCGATTAGAGTTGCTTAGTAAGAAATTTTTTTGAGGGCGTGGAGAGCAGTAGTGGGTTACCATGGTGATCAAGCCCGTGGTCAGTCTTTAGCTTCTCTACTTTATCTCCTTCCCCACTTTTTGATCGGTCACGTCTCTATGTTAAGCCTCGTTTTATGACATAACGGGAAATTTAGGGTAAAATTTCACTTGTTGCCACTATACGACATTGAGGTACAATTCAGTTTCGGACAATACGCCCTAGTAGATGAGCAATGTGATTTTCCGATGGTTTAGACAATTTTTAGACACTTTTCTTCTATGACGTTTCTGTCACAAATGAAGCTCTTTTTGTATGAGTGCATCGTTCTATCGCTGGTATTTTTATAGTAGTTCACAAACATTCCTACCCCAAACTATTATCATATTCGAAAAAGACCTCTAATTTTAAGATAATTTTCTTCTATTACATTATCGTCAGAAACGTATAATAACGGACATAGTGCATGCCAAATCTTTCTATTTAATTCCATTAATCTTCCCTTCATAAATTGTCATTTGCATGCGTTCCCGTACACGTCACACGGCCAATTAAATGGGTTCATTTTTTTGCCACCAATTAAATTGAATTGTGGTTTCTGCTTTTAGAATTCACAGTATTATTTGCCCAATTAGATTTGATTGTGAAATTTGGATTCTAATTCGGAATAAGGGATAAGAAATACTGTAACAGTGATTCCCGCATATGATGGGAGTCTGATTAAGTAAAAACACTGAGAGCTAGGTTAGATCAGGTTAGGTTAGGTCATCCAAAAAAATGTTAGGATTTTATGTTTTTCTAGTCATTTTTGGTGTGTTTTTTATTCACTTAGCCATGATTTTTGTCGGAAAATGCTTGTTTCTCTCCCCTACCCAAAACCCCAGTTCCCAACAAGATCCTCTATCATGCTGGGGGTAGAAGGGGTGATAACTAAAAAATAGGCAATTTCCGACAAATCAAGGTCAGAACCAATCAAAACACAAAAAAAAAACCACTGGAAAAACATAGTTTTGACTTTCTAACAGAGTTGTGTGAACTATTATAAATTTACCATCTCTTGGTGTTAGAAATATGTTTTTCCGAGTGCTTAAACAATTCTAAGACATTTTTATTTCTATGATATTTTCCTCAGAAATTAAGGATAACCGAGATGTTATTTTTCCAAAATTTTTATCTTCTACGTCGGGCGGAGAAGCTCTTCCCCCCCCATCGGTTCCTGCTCCAGTGTGTTCATTTGTTCACTTCGTCTACAGTGCATGTGCGGGGGTGGTGTGGAAGTTTTTATTGGCTAGTGGAAGTAGAGTGTGAGGGTAACGTTATTATTGGGGAGTGCAGTGCGAGGGGTGGCTTATTATTGGGTAAGAGCTTTTTGTATTAGCCAATGAGCAATGTATGGATGCATCGGGAGGGAAGAACTGTGTGGACATTGTCAACATGATTATTTTACGTTTATTGCCGAGTTTCATCAGAAAAATACTGAGGCCATTGCATTTTTTAGAAAACACGGTGTATTACCGAACAATGTGAGTTGTCCGAACTGTAAAAATCAGTGTACTTATCGTCTGATTGGGTTAGGTTTGGTTCGGTTGGATTTTGGTGATTTTCTATGGTTTTTAACACATAAAAAGGGGTAGGTTAAGTTAGGTTATATTTCTTTTGGTATTAGTAATCTGTTTTTTCCTTTGTTTTTTTTTACTTTTGAAGGATTTTGGCCTTGTTCTCCATTGGAAATCACCTTCCCTTAAGATTGTTGGGAGGAGGAAGGTTATCTCAAAAACAAATGATTTCCGACGGAAATGAATGTCAAATTCGTTCAAAACTCATCAAAAACCAGAGGAAAAACATATTTCTAATACCCAAAGAATGAACTGTGCACTCCTTTAAACTGACCCAAATGACCTAAAATTACCTAACCTCCTAACTTGGGTATAATGAGGGTGAACTCGGGTAGAAATATAGGTAATACCTGTAGTTATAGTAAAGTAAGAATTTATTGTTGTAGGATTGTAAAGAGAGGAAAGTTTGGTCGCGTGGCCGATTAGATATTTAACCGTTACTATGTTCTTAAGGGGAAGCCTCTAAACACCACTTCCAGGTACAGCTATTTATTAGTTAAGTAAATGGCATGGACACATTAATAGATCATTATATTTATGTAACTAGACAATGACTCCTGGACGCAAACATGAAATAGATACACTTTAACTGGAGGTAACTCACCCTATGGATTGCTCAGACAATGACTCACGTGTGGCCTGAGGGAGGCCCAGCAGGTGCTGCTGAAGAGAGTGGTGCTGGACTCTGTCACCTGTGGGAGACTCTGATAGCTGGGGACTCAGTGTTGGGGAGGGAAGTCCTCCTCCCGACCTTGACTTGTGACGAGTGTGACTCCGTCTGCCTCTGAGTTTTGACTTTCCCTGTGTGTCCCACGGAACGAACTGTAGGCCCCTTATATTGGCGGTGTCAGGCCAGCAGATGTTGTCACTAATTAACACTAATCTGGGTGTGTCGAGACAGCTGTGTTTGAACAGGTGCGTGGTGCGGGCTGGAGTGTAGTTTCTCGAGTTAACACGGTCATGACGCTGGTTTCACGCGGCGGTGAGAACTGTTTCATTGTGACCTTGACCTCTGCTGGGTCAGGTCTTTATCTCACTTCAATTATGAAGGGTGGGTCAACTTACGTGGGTGTACACCTGCTCATCTACTTGCTGTTATATGTGCTGTTCTTCTCTGGGCTGTAAGCATTGGTCTGATAAACAATCATTACAAGGGGGGGTCCTTCCCCTAGATTCCCCAGTATATTTTAAGGGAAATATCATAGAAGAAAAGTGTCTTAGAATTGCCTAAACCGTCGGAAAAACACATTGCTCAACTCGCAGTCCATATTGTCCAAAACTGCAATTATTGTATACCAAAGTTGAAGTTGAAACTTTTTTCTGATTGAGTTTTGATGTGTCATGAACGAATTTGTGTTAATATTCGTCCAGTGGCTGTCAGCAGGCTCCCGCCGTGTTTACCGAGGTTTTACTCCTCACTTAAGGCACTTTCCTCCAAACGTGTTGCCTGTTTTGCTGGCCGTTGGCCTGACAGCCCAACAAGCAGCAGGATGCTGTTGTGAGATGTGGACAACAGTTTTGTGGGGACCTTTGCTGGCCAGATTAGTTCTCAAATGAGCTTCATATAATTTCAAGTTAAAATTGAAAGATGTAAATCATTAAACAATAATAACTTAAAATATATCACATAAAATGGTGACATGTTTCTATTTTTTTTTATTTTAAAACTTCTTTAGTTTTATTAAATCATTATTCAGGGTCTTCTTTGACTAGCCAACTGCTGCCACCTTTAAAGAAACTTCACGACTCACCCATTGTCTTTTCCTTAGCTTTCACAGATGCCTCACTTGCTTCAGCAATTGAAGAGCTATAGCACAATCCTGTAAGGTCTCAACTGCAGTAGTGGGATCCATGGCAAACCTCGTATAGACACTTTGTTGTTGTTTTTGTAGCATTGGGCAGACGCGCTAACAAAACATCCCAGTGTGACGCAAAACGTCTCTTTCCTTTGCTGGCTGGACCGTGTTTGCCAAGCATGTTTGGAGGAAAGTGCTCAGTGTGCTGCTGCCTTTAGTCATTTAGGTCAATTCAGGATAGTAGCCAGGTTTTGAATTCCATTATTTTAATGTTTGCAACACATTACCTAACAAAAATTTCTTCAATGACATTTTCTACACTGACGAGAAATAATATCTTAAACATTAAGATAAATATAAGAGATAATTGGATTATTTACTTTCAGATTTGGGAAGACTGATGGCATGGGACAGGGTAGAACGATACCGCTGGTTGAGTGGTGCGTCTCTGGCACTACTCCTAGAAGATCTTACATTGAATGCTATCTTCCAGGTCTTTTCACTTAATACACTGTTGACTCTTCTCATCTACATGTAAGTCAACAGTAATATTAATGCATCCGGATTTTGATATACAGTGGTCCCTCGGTTAACGAACACAATTTGTTCCACGGAGTCGTTTGTTAAGTGAATCCATTGTTTCAATGGGATATTGGGTAATTGGTTCCAGCTCACAGAAAAGTACATATGTGAGAGGTTTGAATCATAGACCACGTTCTTTGTAGACTTTATTCTTACAGAGTCAGCTGGTGACTGGCAACCCGGCGCTGCCACAGACAAGCTCCCACCTCAACATATGGGAAAACATATCGTACGATGGTACTCCATTTCACAATCTTACATCTCCCCCCCCCCCCTCCAAGTTAAAAGGAAATGACAATGCACATTTGAACTAACAAAAGGAAAACAATGCATTCATAAAAAAATCAATGATGCAAGAAAAACCAGTCAAACAAAGAAAGAAAAAAACCCCTCTAAACTAATTTTACATCACATACACTACACCACGTAGTCCGTCAACCAGCCCGGGGGCCTGCGGCCTCTCCTGGGCCTGGCCACGCTCGACTGGGGAGGGGCCGGGGGTGCGAGCGAGGGCACGGGTACAGAGGGCACCGCAGATGGGGGCCCAGGAGGCATAGCTTGGTGCACCACCATAGTAGTAGACACAGGCGTGGCGCCGTTTCGCAGGTGGCGTCTGTTGCGGATGGACACCCTGCCACTGCCAATCAACCTGACGGCATACTGCCTGTGAGGGCGGGCTTCCACCACTATGCCTGTCCTGTCCCAGAGCTTGGTAGCTGCGTCCTGCACACGCACCTGCATGCCCACAGCTAGGGGAGCCAGCTGGCGGGACACCTCCCCTCGCAACAGGAGGACCCCGTCCTGAGTTTCGGCCAAGCGCACCTCCCTCATACGAAGTGCCCGCCGCCAGTGCTGGTCCACCTTATAGTGCTGTCTGGCCGTCACGGAGCTGGCGGCCAGTGGCAAGTTGGGCGGGCGACTTGTTCACCCCCGTAGAGGCGTGTTCAGGTACTGGAGGAGGGCCTGGGATGTCCTATCGCAGTCCAGGCTACCCCCGGGCCCAGTGTTATCTCTGAGGAGCCTCTTGGCGGCTTTGACCCCAGCCTCTGCCCTGCCATTGGACTGGGGGAAGTGGGCCGACGAGAGGTACACCTCGACCCCCATGACTTGAGGAAATCTGTCATCTCAAGGCTGGCAAGGTTGGTACCCCCATCCGTGGAGATCTGCTCAGGTGCCCCCACCTGGTGAAGTAGGCCCGCAGACGGGTGATGATTTTTCCAAAGGTGGCCTCGTTGGGGAAGTGGGCGATCTCCAGCCAACCTGTGAGTCAGTCAACATATGCTAGGTACGTGTGGCCCTGCAGGTGGAACAAATTGGCCACCACTTGTTGAAAGGGATAGTCTGGCGCTGGGGTCAGAACCAACGACTCCGGAGGCTGGGAAGGGGCGTGGGTCTCGCAAGCAGCACACCGGCACCGATGATACTGCAGGTCACCCTCTATGCCAGGCCAATTGACAGACTGCCGGGCCCGCCTGAGCATTGAGTCGAGGCCCTGGTGCCCCACGTGCAGGTTAACGGCGACCCAGTGGCAGAGGGAGTCGGGGATGACAAGGCGCACGCAGCCCTAGTCAAAGGTGTAGGTGACCAAACCCCTGACCACAGCCAACCTGTCCCTCACCGAGAAGTACGGGCGCAGACAGGCCACCTCCTGTGACTTGTGGGGGAGCCAGTCGCCCGCCAGCACCCTCGACACTAGAATCGGTATACTGGGTCGTCCGCAGCCGCTTTGCACACTGTGTCTTCATCCATAGTGATGCACCCATCCTGATCCAGTGCTGCGATTGTGACTGCACACACTGCAGCGCACAGGTCCTCCTCTTGGTCCATGTCCTCCGCGTCGGGCGCCGCCCTGAGGGAGGGAAAGTGGGATAGGGCGTCAGCTGCACAGTTCCGCTTCCCTGGCAAGTAATTGACCATGAACCGGTACTGCAGGGTCTTCTCCTTGAGCCTGAACAGGCGCGGATTCGCCACATCCGTGAGGGCTCTGTCCCCTAGCAAGCCAACTAAGGGGCAGTGGTCTATCACCAGAATGAGGTTTGGGCAGCCAAGGAGGAACAGCCTGGCCTTGCGCAGGCACCATGCCACAGCCAGGGCCTCCCCTTCTACTGCAGCGTAGCCGGCCTCGGCCGTGCTCAGATGTCAGCTACCGCACAGAGCCACTGCCTAAGTGGTTGTTCCCACCATTGCCTGGCCAGACGTACGACACAATACACCAGCATCTCTCACTGCTGCCTCAAATAACATACATTTGTTTCTAAGCACTTCAACACTATTATAACTCGAGTACCCCCGGAAAATTTCCCTTATCAACACAGGGTTACTCAGGCCCACCATAACTTTACGTAATAGCATGTACTCAGAGAGATCTTTATCACAGGTGAGACATTTAAATTCACACTCCACTGCCTCTGCGAAGCAGCGTTGAAAGTACCTTTTCATGGGCTCCTCTTCACCTTGTTTGCTGTTGAAAAACCATTCCACTGATGGCATCCAGGGCTTCCTTGGGCGAGAGCTGCTCCCACTGACCGCTGGGATATCTCGAGTCAATCACCCTTTGGAGTGCAGGGACTCAGTTCAGGCGAATGTGGAGTGTGGCCACCAGTTGTGACCACCCGTTCAACAGCACCCACGACTCCATGTCCTAAACGCCGCTGCTGGCATTTCTGCCTCACACTTCTCTGGAGCGACAGCTGCTGAGGGCTTCATGACCGGCATAGAAGCATGACCACCGCCAGTAGCTAGAGACGCCATCTGAGCCATCAATGTACTCATGGTATGCTGCTGGGCGCGCGTGGTGTTCCCCGCCGGTGTAGAGATGCCCTGGCGTCCCCTTGAGGGCGTCGAGAATCGTGGACGTGTAGGGGCCATGTTGGCGTTCTTGTCTGGGCTGTAATGGTGTGTCGGGCCCCGGCATCCTACTCACTGCACCATATGAGAGGTTTGAATCATAGACCACGTTCTTTGTAGACTTTATTCTTACAGCGTCAACTGGTGACTGGCTACCCGGCGCTGCCACAGACAAGCTCCCACCTCAACACATGAGAAAACATATCATACGATGGTACTCCATTTCACAATCTTACAACATACAAAGTAAAAAAAAAAATGCAGTAAAGTACACTTACTTTGAGGTGTGTATGTAGAAGGTTCCTGGTTGATGATGATGATGGGAATTAGAAGTGGGGTGGAGGAGAAATCACCTTTCAGGGGACCCATGCTTGATGCCATCATTTCACCAATAAAATTTTAAGTTCACTAGGTGTAATTCAAGATTATTTTATTTAAATGAACACTGCACTGCGCTATATATTATCAATATGTTAACTAAATTTCAGAATGACCAATAATTTCAGTGTAAAAATGCAAAAATATTCAAGATGCCAACAAAATCAATGTTCACTCCACTGTCAACAAAGCCAAACTGACGCCTGGTGGCGAGTCGAGCGGCTGATGGGCGCACAAAAAACTAGTTCCCTGTACTGCATATATTATCAATATGTTAACTAAATTTTAAAATAACTAATAATTTTAATATAAAAAATGCAAAAATATTAAAGAGCACAACTTTCTTGATATTTACTCCACTGGAAACGAATGTAAATATAGAACAGATTACTGAATTGGCAGACTAGCCCCTCAGCTGATACTCACAACAAAACGTGTTGTTCATAAGGATTTTGTTAATCGAAGTTTTGTTCGTTAACCGAATTGAAGATCCTTATGGGGGGTAATTCGTTAACCAAAATTTCGTTAATCAAACCGTTCATTAACCAAGGGATCACTGTAGTACCATGGAATATCTTAAGTGTCTTACTGCTGTACCTCTTAAACTACTCCTCAATTATTTTGTTACTCTTAGAGGATGACATAGTGTTGTTTTCAGTTCTTTGATGCCCTTTTACCATCAGCCTTCTGTTCATTATTCATTTAGAATATTCAGTGTACTGTAGTTAAATTTTCAGATAGGAGCATTGCTCAAACAGTACTGTACTGTAGAAACTGAAATAGAACTATTTCATGTTACAGCATACAAGATGTCTGTTTGGTGTTTTCACTCATTCTGCTGTTCCTGGCAATGTTCTCTACAACACTTTCTCAGGTATGTTTTCCTTTTATTTTTCATACACTTAAAAGGTCTATTTCTTAAATACTAATGAAAAATTAACTGTATATGTGTCTGTATGTGTACACTTGCTACAGAGAGTATCTGCAAATTTTTTGCCTAGACAATATGACAATGGATGAAGGATTTTGACAGCCCTACCCAAACAAGAGCTGCAGTGTTCATTTTGACATCCATCTGACCCCACCTTGCTGTTAATTTTTGTAGTGAGTGTACATGCATGTGTTTGCAGATACAGTACATATGTAGAGGGCAAGTGAAGATTAGAGGGATAGAGAGAGTGAGGGATGGTGTATGAAAAAGAGAGAGTACTAAAGATTTTTTTTTTTTTACATGGCATAGCCCACATGGGCACAGGTCAACGACCCACAATGGGGCCTAGGGGATGAAAAAATAAGAGTAAAAAGAAATTAAAAATAGAAGAGAAAAAGATTATATTAATCTACACCACTAAGATGCCGGAAAACCATCTTTTTAAAGTGAGACAGAGTGTATGAGTGGAAACACAGAAGAAGGCAGAGCATTCCACAGTTTGGCTGTGTGAGGAAAGAAGGATGTACTACTAAAACGGGTTATTCTAGTGTGACCGACATCTACAGAGAAATGGCGGGCACCGCGGGCAAGACGAGTGTTACGAGCCCACGGCCTTGCTGGCGGTACACAGGATGCCAAATCCACCGAACATTGCCCGTTAAAGTACTTGTAAAAGAGAGAGAGAGTGAAGCAACATTGCAGCAAAGAGAAAGGGAAGAAAGATTTTCGACTAAAGGAGGAGAATTAATAAGACGAAATGCCTTTGATTCCAACCTATCTAACAGTTGGATAAAAGAAAAGCCACCCCAGATATGAGAGCAGTACTCCAAGTTAGGATGAATGAATCCCTTATATACTTGAAGCAACTGCTCAGGAGTGAAGTAGCTATTGCATCTGTACAGCATTCCCAGCTTTCAGGAGGCAGCTTTAACAATGTTAAGGATGTGTGGCTTCCATGACATATTAGAGGAAATGGTGAGGCCTAGCATATCTATTTTAGAGTTTGGCAGAATGTTAGCGTCCTGAAATGTGATTGGTGGGAGATCATCAAATTTGGAAAGTGTGATTGGTAAATACTGAGTTTATTACTATTGAATTTAACCAAGTTTCTACTTCCCCATTCTGAGGTGCTGCACAGATCCGCATTGATAGATGTAATGATTTACGTCATTACGACAGCTAATCACCATCTAGAGTAATGTTTACAAGATTATGGTGGCCAATATGACTCAACTAGTTTTTATGGAGGAGGAGAAATCTCTCCTTGCACACCATGAGCTACTTTTGTTACTATAATTACAATCAAATTATGATAAATTTATAATGATTTACTGTACTGTGTTACAATGTGGCTTTGTTGTTATACGATAACAAAGAAATTCATAGAGGAAGACCAATTACATATAAATTGTAGATATAATCCAGGACAGGTGTCAATATTCTTAACAAAATCTGGCTAGGTTCGATTAGGTAAGGTTTCTTTCTGTTCTTTTAATCCCACATTTCCCCTGATTAGTAACGTTAAGAAAAGACTTTCCTTTATTCATACATTAAAATCAAAATGCACTCAACATTTGTTCAATTATATTGAAAATACATTAAAATATTTTTCCTAAAGAAAAACACTCAGTAAAGAAGTGTTAGCATTCTTTACATTTACCGGCTTGATCTTCATTTGACAACTGCAATCGTTCTAACCTGGAAATTATTCGATGCAAAGATTCTCAAAGCAATCATCAGCTGATGAATGGGAGGTGGAGGTGAACCATAGACAACAGGTTAAGTAGATGTCCCATGTCACGGAAAATATCAAGGAAATCCCCCTTGCTAAACCTATATTGTTGTCTGAACTGTGTGTCACTATAAAAACTGATGGGATTCTGCCTATGTACAGTCTCGTTGAAGATTCTTTGAACACTGCTGGAAACAGCTGGCAATTCAAGGTCGTTTGTTTACTATAGTACGTAGTAAAAATTATGAATGAATGTGAAAGGTTATCGGTTATTGGTTACTAAGTTCCCCGTTGCTTAAATTAATGGTTGGGCTTTGTTGTTTCATATTATATTATAGTACTTAATATAGTAAACAAACGATCCTTGAGTTGCCATCTGTCTCCAGCAGTGTTCGAAGAATCTTGAACGAGACTGCACCATTAGTCTTCTCTCTACAAAATTTCCAATTTGATGATATCGCCGAAGAGTGCGCTCTCTGTCAAAATTCATGTTGACTTGCTATCTTGAATGACAAATTGACTGCTAAACCTGCCTCCAGGCTGGATTAATGCGAGGATCAACAAATCTAATCTCAAACCCGGTTTGAATTTTCGTGTTGGCTCAAGACAGTGCTCTGAATACCAACAATCGTTACTCGATCCTTGGTTTAAACCTTCACGCGATTTCAAACCAGCTTTCTGAATTCGGGCCCAATTTTCTGTAATTTTTTTTTTATGTATTCAAGCTTGGGTTACCAATTTTATAGCATGAATTGTATTGTAATAATTTGTATTTAAAGTACTGTAGTACAACTTTTAAAGATGATATCGTTTGTTTCATTGTTGAACATCAAAACTGTAATTTTGTTCTTTAACTATCTTACAGGTGTCTTTGATTGCTAATAAAATTGACAAAAGCTCTTAACACTTGCGGTTTTGGACACGAGGGGTGCATCCAAAAAAATGTTGTTACGCTCTCGCTCTTGGACTCTCTGGTAGCGTTCTCAAGATAAAAGTAATTGTATTATAAAACTATCTACTATGGATGCATTACAGGTTGTAGCATGAAGATCATGGTAAATGTATTGTACCTCTGGCACCCTCTATATCTCTGCACCATGGGATAAGTTTGTAAAAAATAAGTCTAGTCTATGACCTTGAGCGAGGAGGGTTGCTATTGTGCAGTGGGAAAAAGATGCTACCCCTCAGCCTTCCACTTCAAAAAGGAGAGAGGATTTTCCTGCTGGAGGTCCAGAGGTTCCTGACATTTTCATGGAAGGTGACTCGTCTTCCAAGAAGCAGTAAAATGCTTCTCCTCCACCCGCACTTCTTTCTCTTCTCCCTTCTCCTCCTCCCACTTCAAATTCACATCAGCATCATCAACCAGGAGCCTTCTACATACACACCTCAAAGTAAGTGTACTTTACTGCATTTTTTTTTACTTTATGTAATTTTCGGTGAGCTGGAACCAATTACCCAAAATCCCATTGAAACAATGGTTTCGGTTAACGAACAACCTTCTGGAACAAATTGCGTTCGTTAACCGAGGGACCATTGTATATAACATTTTCTTCTCTATTTTTAATTTCTTTCTTTTCTTATTTTTTCGCCCCCTAGGCTCCGTTGTGGGTCATTCGACCTGTGCCCGGGTGGGCTAATTCCCGTAAAAAAATAAAAATACAGAACAGAATAAGGTAAATTAGATTTCACTTTTATTTTACTAAATTCTTCATGTGTTTCTTTGACTAATTTCAACAACATATACACTGCAGACAGGCACAACAGCTATCCGTCTGGATGGGTGAGATCACAAAAGTTCGCTTGTGTTGATCGCCATGTTAGAAATGGAAAGGGAACGTTTCTTGATTCACACACAACGTCCACCAAATGGGCCTGGTTTGATGTCAGAGATGGCCATCAAAACGGACTATGTGAATCGGGCTTTAGACCTTGTTAATGACCATCAATTTAAAAATTAATACAGGGTAATACTGTACTACTAATGGAATTAATGTGTATTCTGTCATTTCAGAAAGTTTGTAAGAATTCTTTGCTCTTGTGGTAAAAATTTGTAAGTTTGGAAAAGTGAAATTGCAAAGAGCAAGGTCATTTAACAGATTTCCCCAATAATAGATTATAAAAAAACTAAAAATAATTTAGACACATGGCATTACACATGTTTACAAGTATTTGCAAATCTTCTTTTTATTAGAATATAAGAAAATAAGAATGGAGGAAACTGCAACGGGCCCATTGACACCCAACTCATCAATTATATAGCTGTCCAATATATATTTGAAGCTACAGTAGAAGTCCAAAAATCCGGACTGCTTGGGGAATGGGTCGGTCCGGATTTTTGGATTTTCCAGATTCTCAGGCAGTACTTTTAAAATTCAAATTAAAGGTACATTTTGTTAGTTTATTCATTAGCAAATATAGCATGCTTCATTTATCAAAACGAGCAGTTTTGAAGAAAAAGCTGTGAATTCTAGAATTTTATTCTTTGCCTTTTTTATATCATAAATTGTAGACTTTCCAATGTTGTATGTTTCCATTAGAACAGTATTGCTCACACCACATTCTAGTTTCTTAATTATTTCAAGTTTGTCACTCAATTTCAACATGTTCTTCTTTCTCTTTACACAACGAAGTTTATCGACTTTAGGATCCATTATTATGGGCTTGTACAGTACAGTACTCTGTAAATGGAAAGAGTAGGACTCAAAATTCCATACGTTGTCACAGTTTGATTGCTCGTTTTAAAGTGGCGACCGCAAAGTCACTTGTTGTCACTGTGCAGCTGTGGCGCACATACACAGCTAAAAAAAAGAAAAAAGTTTGAGTTTTCGAAAAGCCCGGATTCTCAGGTGGTCCGGATTTCTGGCATCTGGATTTTTAGACTTTTACTGTACCCGGCATGTTTGAGTGAATGATGAAGTTCGGTAACTTGTTCCGCTTATCCACTACTCTATTTCCAAACCTATCTGACATCTAAATCTAAATTTCTCTAATTTAAAACCATTGTTATGAGTTCCATCCTGGTTGAATATACTGTATCACCTTTGATTGACCATGTCTTCCATTTATACACCTCAATCATATTGCCCCCCAATCTATGTCTCTCAAGGGAGTGCAAATTCAGATGCTTTAATCTGGTGTTCGTCGCTTGGGTACATAGATGAAACGATATGAAAAAATGCATGTGATTGGTTCAGACGTGAAGAAATGCTTGTGATTGGCTAGCTTCCAACTTTGTCCTGTGATTGGATATTTAAAACTATTGTTTGGGTTTCAGTAATGAGTAAAGATTTTTGTTTTTCAATTGTATTGAAGTAAAAGTATTAGAAAACCATACTTAAGTAAAAGTACTGAAAATTTTCAGTACCTTTTAAAATTTGTAAATACCCAAAAATGTTACTTGAGTACAGTACTCAAGTAAATTTACATCATTACTTTACAACTCAGGAAGTGTACAGTACAGTATTACAGTTGTACCCCACTTAACGCGGTCAATTGAACCCAGAGGGTCCTGCGTTAAGTGTAAGTGAAATCCGCGTTAAGTGAACAACAGAACATATGGGATTAATTCCAATAGAAACCGGCCCGACCCCCAAACTCCACTTTTTGAAGGCACATACCTATGTTGTAGTAAAAATAACATCTTAATTTTATGATGGTACATGCACACAATTAATACTTAAGAGAAATAGAGAAATACAGTCGCCAAGTTAATGTCCATTCAAATAATGGACTCAACTCCCTCCCCCTCTCACACTACACTGCCGGCTCTTCCCTCTCAGAGAAATTTTTGGGGGAAAACCACTAAATTTTAATAAATAATACCTCAAACTAAAGTTAGGATAATACAATTGACATTGCTGGATTCCTTGTAAGACCAGGAATATTTTGAATATAAATGTCATATATTTTGCACAAAAGATAACATAGTTACCTAGAGAAAAATTTTTATCTAAAAATTGTATGTTTAATGCAAAATATATGATGTTTATATTCAAAATGATCACCAAATTATAAGAATTCCAGCAATGTAAATTATATTCTGACCGGGTAATTTGTATGAATTTTATGAGCTAAAACAAATATCTTCAGTTAAAAAAAAAAAAATAATCTTCACGACACTATCTGTCAATCAAAGTACCCCACCTTGCCTCCCCCCCTCTTCCAACCGCGCGGTCAGTCCCAACCCTCCCCCCCACCCCCCACCAATCCTCCCTTCCAGAGTTTTTAACATTTAGTATTAAATAATACCTCAGATTAAAGTTAGGATAATATAATTGACATTGCTGGATTCCTTGTAAGACCAGGAATATTTTGAATATAAATGTCATATATTTTGCACAAAAGATAACATAGTTACCTAGAGAAAAATTTTTATCTAAAAATTTGTATGTTTAATGCAAAATATATGATGTTTATATTCAAAATGATCACCAAATTATAAGAATTCCAGCAATGTAAATTATATTCTGACCGGGTAATTTGTATGAATTTTATGAGCTAAAACAAATATCTTCAGTTAATAAAAAAAAAAATAATTCTTCACGGGGTAACAGATGGTCGGTCGGTCCCTCCCTCCCCCCCACCCCCCACCAACCGTCCCAAGGAGATGTGTGGGATAACCACTAAATTTTAATAAATAATACCTCAAACTAAAGTTAGGATAATATAATTGACATTGCTGGATTCCTTGTAAGACCAGGAATATTTTGAATATAAATGTCATATATTTTGCACAAAAGATAACATAGTTACTCTGAGAAAAATTTTTATCTAAAATTTGTATGTCTAATGCAAAATATATGATGTTTATATTCAAAATGATCACCAAATTATAAGAATTCCAGCAATGTAAATTATATTCTGGCCGGGTAATTTGTATGAATTTTATGAGCTAAAACAGGCAGTCAGGCAGGGTGGCGGGTGGGGCAAATCTAAAAATAGCGTCTCGAGCCGGACACTCAGGACACTCACCGCGTATATGTGGAAAAAATCGTGTTAAGTGAAAGTTCAGCTCTGGCGAGGCACCGCGTATATGATAAAACGCGTTAAGTGAAACCGCGTTAGGCGGGGTAATACTGTACTTTCTTTTTGTACATTAATAAAAATGGATGGTAGGATGATTTTCATGGCTTAGAAAGTTGCGGGTTATCAAAATGAAGACCACAAGTGATATAACTTTAGATATGAATGGCTTAAATATACTTTTAGTGTGCCTAAGTTGAAATCAGTTTAAAAAAATTTCATGTTTTTTTGCAGGCTGGTCTTATTGGCGAGTTGTTCCAAAAATTCCAGTGGTGCATCTTTGTGGCTATAACTTACCTAGGTTTATCAATTGGCTTACACTCCTGGTCACTTAAGGAGCAGTGGCAAAGACCTGATAAATACATCTGGACTCATGGAATGGTGTGTCTCTTTACCATTCAGAGGATAGGTAAGACTTAAGTAAGAAATTACCATTACTAAAGACCTCTTTTCGTTGGAACATTAATACTGTACAAATATCTGTTCCCTCTGATTTTTTATGTTTTCAACTATATTCCCTGGCATCATTTTAATAAAAAAGGAATTCTTTCTATGCATTTTTCCTGCATGCTGTCTAGTAATGTACAAGTGAGTAGCTCTTGTATAACCTTCATACATTTCAGCAGATTCTTTCTGAGAAACATCAAGTTGATGTGTGTGCACCCACACATCCCTTCCACTTTGTCTTCAGGTTTCCTCAATACTGTATGCTCAGTACACTTGAGTTTAGTCATATGTAGTAGAAAACTCTAGTCAACAGTTTACGGTTTTCTCAGAATTTTCAAGGAATACTTAGTCTAATAGTAATGTAGGATGTTAACCCTAAGGCCCCAGGTGACGTTCCAGAACGCGAGCCTATTTTCGCCACTGTTTAAATGCCCAGCGTGGGTTAGCAGGATCCAGTGTGACTATTTGTCTGTCCCACCACACACTCGGCCACAGGGAAGCTTGCTGAACGTAATTACCTACTTTTGTTTGTTTCGTATTCATTGTTTGTCCATTTTATCATGTTGTATCACAGTAATATTGCTAAAAGTACATGTAGTGTAGTTGTATTGTAATATAGCATTACTGGAAAATAATGCGATGATTATGTTATAAATGTACAAGTGTATTTATTTGTGGAATTATATTATTTTTTGCATTACTTGCTCTACCAAACACAAAGACAGCCTGGTGACCGACTGTGTGTGTGTGTGTTGCCAAGCACTTTTTATGAAAAATAATGTAAATTAAATATTCTAAATGAATTATTTTGAGCAAATAAGTATTAAGATCAGCAAATTTATGCATTATTGGCCACCTCGGACACAAAGGCGAGCTAAAAATAGCTGCTAAGTGCGGATGTGCCACGAACGTCAGCTGTCAAACCAACAGTCTCCTTTTCCCCCCTCCCTCCATGCAGCCAGGGAAGTTTATAGAGGGTCAATATATAGTTTTTATTACTTATTTTTTATTGTTTTATAATTTAAAAATGCTAAAAATTATTTTTGGGAAAGTTGATATTTCTTGATTTACCCCTGCGTGCGGGGGGTTACTGCTAGTGGCACCCTAACCTGGGGCTTAAGGGTTAACCAAAGATGTACTCATGAACAAATTAGTACAGTGTATCAGTGAATATATGTGTCAGAAATATAAAGTGAATAAAAACTCAGATATCATGAATGGGGGATAGTTAAACGTACACCAACGGATAGTTGCTTATAATTAATTTTAATACTAGTACAGGGGGTCGTCATTATACACCACGGATGTGTTCCAGAGAAAAATGACAATTAGTGAAACGTTTTATAATGAGGACTTTTTTCCCATAAGAATTAATGTAAATAGGGGTATAAATGTGCCAACATGTAGTGTAATATCCCTTGAAAGCTCGCAAATCAGTGTACAATTTAAATGTGTTCCTGAAAAAAATTATCGTTAAGTTAAATAATTGTGAAATGAGGGATAACGAGAAATATTATCCTAAATGAGGGATAACAAGGAATAATATCCATGGAGATGGCATGTAATTGCATAGTTGAGTCACCGACTCACCACCCAGTAGCACTCAGAGCGAGTGAGGCTGAGCTGTGAGCTATGTTATTGTTCAACTCGTAATTTTGGGTAGATGTACTTTTTTTTTATTACTCAGTTACATGCACACACAATTGTTTATACAGAATGTGAAAGAAAAAAAATCAACCGCCACTGGCCAGTCCTTTCTCCTTCCACCGTTTGGCCCTAAGATCTGATGTGGAAGCATGTGCTGCTTCCCTTATCTCGCACTTATTTATGTACTACTGCACCATTATGCAGAAAAAAAAATTATGTTCTTTGTTTCATAGTGTAAATAAAAAGCAACTCTGAATTTACATAAAGAACGTTTAGGTGACAAAAGTAGGCAAAAAAAAAAATAGTTAATCTAAGCAAATTATTGGTTGTGACCTGACCAAACATTTGCTAAACTCTGAGCTCACGTGGTGTGAGATGCTACTCATGGACTAATGGATTGTACCACTGGCCTGCGAAAAATTTTTTCTATCTGACCGTGTTTGGCCGAATGTTCCCGTGTTAGCCCTGCTCAACTTACATTCGAGCGAATCTCTGCCCCATGTTTAGCGATATCAGGTAGTAATAAGAAACCGTGTTCAAGCGAATCTGCGTTGACCAAACCCGCATTAAGCAAGGGGGCAGTGTACTGCACAACAAAGATCATATGCGAAAACAATAGTGAGCAGGTGAACAAGTTTGTACAATTGTAGCAGACACTGAAACAAAGAGTTTCATGATGCTAAAGTTTGAGGAGATAGGCTACAAGATACATCAACCTGTCACAGGCATTCCATGCAGTCACATGACAGTAGTGGCCAATTGCAGCTCACGAACACTGAGCTTACCCACCCACACACACACCCAGTGGTTTCTTGCGAACACTCGTTTGCACACGCAATTCAACCGCAGACGAAATACAGGGGGTCCTCATTATCCGCGGTTAATTGGGACCATAAGAACGCCTCTGATAACAAATCCACTTAAAGCGGGGAATTAATCCCCAAAGAAATAGGTCAAATTAGGATCATGACATTGTACACGACACTAAAAAAAAATATATATATGATATCTTTTGACAATTATTTACCTTAGAAACATTTGTTAAACCTTTGATAACACATTATTTTAAGAAATTATTTAACTTTAAGTTATTTAACGTCCTTAAAGTTCATTGGGGTCAGTGTTGAGGCAACGTAGGTTGTACCAGCTGGTGCACACTCACTCCAGTGGTTCATTGAAACAAAATACTTACAAAAAATGTTTAAAAATAAACAATTTTAAGGTAAGACATGTTTGGCTTAATCAGATTGTTGGAGGTGGGTGTTGGGAGAGGAGGATTAGTCGGAGGATGAAAAAGAAAAGACTAAGTGGATTTTCGACTCCCACTCTTCTTTTGCCTAATCACTTCTAATTTTACATCTATACTATAGCTAGTGTGCTTCCTTTTGAGTGCTGCACAACTGTGTTTGGGTTGGGAACTCATGACTACAAAAATTATAAAATAATTCACCACAACATGCACGAAAAGATACAACAAAGGCAGGAGTAAACATAACACAGCATTGGTCTGGATGAAACAAAGCCGGAGACTGGCGCAGGGACTCTTTATATGGATGGTCACAAAAAAGTTGACCACTTAACTGCAGATAGTGAATACTCTCATAATGAGGACATCCTGTAGTAATATCCTGTTGTAATGAAAATATGTTTCTGATGAAAATCTGCAAATAGATGACTGCAAATAAAAAAAATCTGTGAAAAACTAGGGTGAACTGTACATGGAATCTATGGATGGTGAGGGTTTAATATATAGTACTGTACTTACTGGTAATGCATTGAGCTTTATTCTAATTTATTCATGTTTTTCATATTTTCTGTTTCGATTGTTTTAAATGTATCCTTGTAAATTTCCTTTTCAGATTTCCCTTGTCTCTCAAGTACATTGTACTGTCTATACAGGGGGGCCCCCCCCAAGTTCACGGTTCTCGGTTATTTGCGGATGACACCCGGGATGTACCCAAGAATGTCTGTGGGTAGTTTTAAAGTTGCCTGCATTTTCGCAGCTGGGACAGGGAGCCATTCATTCTAGAGACAGTAATTTCCTTTACCTGTATTGTAAATATGTGTGTGTGTGTAGACACACACACAAAGCACATACAAATAAATAATAATGGGAAAATCCTCTCAAGTAATCAGAAACAAATAAATTAAAAATGTGAGTATACCCTCAAATTCATGCTCTATCACATTACTTTATTACTAGAGCACAGACTTGAGGGAAGACTGTCATATTTTTAATAAAATTGATTCTGATTGTTTGTGAGAGTATTTTCCCATTATTTTTTTGTATGTGTTTTGTGTGTTTCTACACAGACACATACACATATACAATACTACAGGTAAAATAAATAACTGTCCTAAGGACAAACACTTAAAGGGAATATAAATTTCTTTGTGCACAAGTAAAAATGTACCCCCCCCCCTCCCCCCGTCTGCAAATGTTATTCATGGATTTGGCGATTCGTGGCCATTTTGAGAACCTAACCCCTGCAAATTTGGGGGAGCCCCCTGTATTATTATCAAAGCTGACTTTAGAGAGTTACATTTATAATTTAATTTTAGAATTGTCAAATGTTTTACCTCATTTAGACTTAAATTTTAATTAACTTTTACTTTCAATTAATTAACTTTTACTTTCAGTGGGTGGCCTTCACTATTACTTGTACAAGCGCACAATCCTTCAGTTATCAGACAAAAATTTCTACTCACATTTGTCTGTTGGCGGCTACAAATAAAGTAAGCTTCCCATTTAACAATGTTATTATAACTGTTAATAAGAGTTTAAAATATTTTATCAAATACTAATAGAGACCACAACTCATAACAACAAACTAATATTGGGGCTGTAATACAACGGGTGGCAGAATTGCCTCACACTTCCATATTTTGAAACTGAAATACGTGTTCAGTATACCTTTTGTATTCTAATACTGCAAGTTACAGGAAAGCCTCCGATAATGATGGTTCTACCAACGACAATTCATACTTAAGACTGGTTAATTTAGGACCCAATTCAATTTACACCATTATATTCTTTGTATTTATGATGAAAATAGAATAAAAAATATAATATAATTAAATTTTCATAAAAATAACTAAATCCCAATATGTATTATAAACTAAAATGCCTTGCACATGGAGGCTGCCAGGCTTGTGAGTGGTGACACCAGCATCACTAGTATAAACAGTCACAGCTTGGCTGGCCTTTTGTTTTCACGCATCTGAACAGGAAAAGGAGAAAAATTTTCTCAGGTTTCTTACAGCATTTTTGCCTCCCTATTCAACATGAGCAGGAGAGCAAGTGCTGGTTCAAAAGCTAAAAGAAAGTGTATAAGCTTAGCTGAGAAACTAGATGTGATAAAATGATATGAAAAGGATGAGAGGTCTGTGGATATTATATGGAGGAAGCAATGAACATATTTTCTGAAGTGAATCCATTAAAAGGAACGAAGCATTAAAATTAACAGGGACATGAAAAATGCTTATTACCTCTACATAAAGATGTACAATGAGAAAATAAAGCAGCTGTGCAAGGTTCTTTTGACAGCTTTATTATTCGAAGGCCTAAACTATCAACCTTCAGCTACACCATCAAATTCAGCATCATAAGCAGCTTCAGTAACAGTTTCAGCAATGACATCTTTTTGGAAAGCTGCAGCTTCAACCAGTTGAACCTGATGACTTCGTCATCTGAGAAAAAACTCCCACAACATTCATTGGCTGTCCTTATTTTTTAGACTTTACCACCATTGGCGAGTAGAATTTTTGTTTTACATTCGTAAGTATTATTTAAAACATATATGAACAGTAATAAGTGTTGCTTTCATATTCTTATGTAGAGAAATGACGATATGTTTTCACATGTACGGTACGCACTTACATACATTGGCGTTGCCTCACATTTTTTCTTTACCATTAGTGGTTAGCTACTTTTTTTGTTCAATTTATTAACATTAAATAACATTACTTAAAACATACATTTTCATTTTACTACAACTACGGTCTTATTTTCTTCAGTTTCTTACGTAGAACCATTGTCATGGGTGTAAACACTTAACGAAAGCAATGCCGTCTCGTCTCCTCTTGTGTTTTTTAATATTCCACGTATTGTTAATGAATTGTATTGTTTATTTTGCATATACAGTATAAAGATTAATTCAATCAAATACATATTTATTAATAACAATAATGAATCTTTTGTACTTATTCTTAATAAGATAAATGACGCTATGTTTCCTAGAGTGCACACGTATATGTTGGCGTTCCACTATCAGTCTCTCACATTTTTCTTTAACATCAGTGGTCACTTTTACTGTACATTAAATAACATTAATTAAAACATACATATTTTTTTACATTAATTTTACTACAACAACAAGGGTCTTATTTTCTTCAGTTTCAGATGGATAACTGACATTATGGGTGTAAACACTGACAACAATAATAGCGTCCCATCTCCTCTTGTGTGACCATATTATTATTGATTTATATTGTATAAGGTGCATTCATGAACATTATTTATAGAATATACAGGTAGTTTGCATTTTTCAGTAATTTTATTTTGGGGGGTAAAAAGCCACACAAAAGATATGAAAAGGTCAGACTTTGGAACGCATCTCATTCTTATTGCTTTATTTTAATGGTAATTAATGATTTACGATGCGATGATTCATCTTACACTGTAACATTAGAAGACACATTACCGTCGTTATTCGAGGCTTTACTGTATTGCAATACAAACATTAATCAAGTGAATACTGTGCTGGAAGACTTACATTTACTCAGTGAAAACTCTTATTCTATCTTGAGTTCTTCTGTTGATGACTAACAACAAATGTATGATATAGCTGGCCCACAGGTATGGAGGATGGTGAAGTTGACACAAACTGCTATGTAACAAAAACATACTTCTGTATGTAACTAAATCATTTACAAAACTGTAGTGCATTAATAAAGTGAAATGTTACTTTAAACTTATACTTTGTTTAGATTTCTTACTTGTGATTTCTAAAAGGGAATAATTACAAAATAAAGTGACTGTGGGGATGGATATTTTCCTTCAATATGATGTAAGCTTATGATTGTCCTGTCTTGCATGTGAGCATCTTAAACACAAACACATGTACATACCTGTATCTCAAATTTCAATGTTTATGCTATTCAATTAAGTTTTTAACAGCAATATTAAAGAATAAACAAACATAATTATTTTTACTGTGCAAACATCTCGACCTTTTCACTGCATGGTGGTCGAGACAAAATACGGGAGGGCGTCGAAGGGAATTCTCGACCGCCAGGATGACCACGGCACCACGAGACGCAGCCACCGCCGGGAGGGCATTGAGGGACGTTGGCCAACCTCCCACAGTGGGTGCAGCGTGGAGTCCACCCACAAAGGTGCAGCCTTGCTGTGCAGTAAACCCCTGTTATTCACGGGGGTTAGGTTCCAAGGAATGGCATGACTGGCAAAACCACGTATAGCAATTAATACTACTTTAGTGCACTACTGTATACCTATACGAAACAACCGACCAGCTGCAGCAGCACTCATTCCTTCTTTTAACTTATCGAATAATTAAACTTATCTTTGTCAGGGTCATCACCGATTTCTGCCTTTTACATTTCACACAGAAACACTTACCGGTAAGTTTTGAGAGTACAACACGAGATGCTGCGTGGGGTGACTCGTTGTGCTGCGGGAAAAGGCTTGCAAGCTAGCCACCATAGCCACCATCAACTTACTGTGAATCGTTGAAATCACAAACCTGCGAATGGCAAGGGTCTACTGTACTCATCTGATGTATCACCTGACTGTGGAAGGGACAAGGGAGCTTGACACTGTGTTACTGGGCTGTGCAGAAGTAGAAGGGACAGGGGAGCTTGACACTGTGTTACTGGGCTGTGCAGAAGTAGAAGGGACAGGGGAGCTTGACACTGTGTCACTGGGCTGTGCAGAAGTGGAGAGGGTGTTTGCAGGTGGCTCAAGATTTCTGGGGGAGGAGGTCCAAAATATTTCAGAAGTGCATTTGAAACAATAAACAATAGGGCTGTACGACCATTATACATTACATGATAACAAAGCAGTTGACACTTGACAGTTAAACCCTGTAAAATGACAAACTCAGCAATAAAAAATAAAAACTCGGTAATAATAGCCTATGCCATGGCATATAGCCTGTAACATAATAATAAAAAATCACAATTTTAAAAACATCAAATTTTAAAGGAATATAGATACCCAACAAACAGTAAATGATTATCAAAATACACGTATCTCATGCCTACCTCTGTCTTTGGCTTGCTTTTCCTCTTCCTCTTTTCTTCTCTTTCTCCCCTGGGCACCAGAGAGCTTAGGTTATTTTTGATACACTGGACATGAGTGCCAATTTTATTTTTTCTATTCGGGTTTATATCCTAAGACAGAAACACAAATTAAATTAATCGGGTTTGTTAATGGCAGTGCACTCTTTCTACCACTTACAGGTTGACAACCCTTTATTCGAAATTCCGAAAACCGAAAAGCTCTGAAAACCGAAAGTTTTTTTGTGGAGTATTTTTTTTTTTTTTTACACAGGGAATAGTCCACCCAGGCATAGATCATTGACCCACATCGGGGCCTGGGGGGCGAAAATGTAATGGTAATACTAATTATAATAATAATAATAATTATTCATAGTAAATAAAAATTTTAATAAAAAATACACCAAAATAAAATAATAATAATAACAATAATAATAAGAAGAAAATATAATAATAAAATTAATAATAATAATAACAATAATACTGTATTAATAAAATAATAATAATAATAAAGAAATACAAGAATGAAAAAAGATAAAAAGTGAGAAACACGACCTACTGTAGACCAATGAATTATTATTATTATTATATTTTCGCCTCCAAGGCCCCAATATGGGTCAGTGACTTGTGCCCGGGTGGGCTGATACACGAGTATATATACAAAAAAAAAAAAAAAAATCTGAAAACCGAAAAATTCCGAAATCCGAAATGCCTATGGCCCCAAGGATTTCGGATAAGGGATTGTCAACCTGTACCTTATTTTGCCATCTATATTACATTAGCCCACGATTATTTTTCTGTATATCACTACTTAATCCATTCCCTAATGATTAAACTTTGTATCTATTACAGTTAAGAAATTTAATGTTACCCACTAAATTATAAATTAGCATCAAAATAAAATACATTATACTGACAAGTGATGCACACAAGGGCTAAGTCTGGCCCTGTCTGAACCAGTGTTGCCAGGTCTCAACCAACATTTTTGTGTTGATTCAAGCGCAATTAATAATTTTCTTTTTTTCCTTGCATCGTTTGATGCTCCCAATGGATCAATGGTGCCTTTAGCATTCGCCTATAAGGCCTATACCTAGGGCCGGCCCTGCACTCTACAAATATTCTAGTCTTACACCACTTACTCACTATACAAAACCCATGGTACCTTCTGGTAATGTACTAAATATACTGTATATTTCATTAATTTTTGTGCTACGTGCTGCATTACAGTAATTAGGTACTAATTTACAGTAGTTAGGTACTTACTGGTAATACAGATGCATGTGGGGAGGGACACCGGCACTCACTGGTAATACAGACACCAGCTACAATTCAGTAAGTCCCGAGAGAATGGAATGTTTGGGTTGTCATACAGAAAGGTGAACCCAACACTAGAAGACCCACACATGAAATTTCTGCCCCTGTGAAATGCAACAGCAACTATTTTCAGCTTATAAACTGACTGCTGCAGATTTTTACCATCCAACCTGTAACTACTGCAACACTGGACAGGTCATTCTTTAATTTACAAAGACTGAAAACATGGTTGTGCAGTATAGAACTATGAGGAACATTGGTTATCAGGTTTGGCTTTAATGGCAAAGAGCAAAGACAAACTCAGCCTAGATGATGCTCCTGTAATACTGCTGTATGTCATATACGAGGTGTGATTCAAAAGTTCCCGGACTGGCTCCATAAAATCGTTACTTTTCAAGATATTACAGTGAAACTTTAGTCACTCTTAAAATATTCTTCCGAGGCCTCAATGTAGCACTGAATCCCCTCCTCCCACTTCTGGAAGTCCTTGTTGGTGAGGCTGGAGAACACCTTCTGTGATGTGTCCTGGATCTCCATTCTGTCCATGATCATCTTCCCCTTGAGGTTCAACTTGAACTTGGGGAAACAGCAAAAAAGTCACAGGGGGCCCAATCTGGAGAGTATGGAGGGTGGGGGAGCCACTGGGATGCCTT